GTTGTATTGTTCATTTTACGGGACTAGCCGTTCGAATGACACTGTAGAAAAACAATATTTTTTACCATTGTATAGAGCTCAGCTTGAAGACTCAGAAAATGTACTAGATCTGTCTGTTGAAAAGTTTAATTTTGTCAAAGATGAATTTTCCCAGTGACATTGCGATTTTCAGGCAAATTTTTGGGCAATTAGTTTTTTAGTTTGTTTAAGAGTTGTAACAAAGTTATTCATACCATTAGATAGACTATATTGCGAAGTGTATTTTTCTATATTTAAACCTTAAAAAAGCACAATTTTCATTTTTAGCCCAATGTTCGCCTACATGCACGCTGTGGTAAGAGGGAACAGCTACTTTTGTGCACGACTGTTACTTTAAGAGTTTTTTCGAATATTTTTATGGTTCGACTAAATTAGAAATTAATATCATTTAGGTTATTTACTGTCTTTGAGAAGAATACCAAATACTTTTCGAACTTCATGTGATCGTTCAACATGCCTAAATATGAATGAAATTTATTTATTTTCTCTTTCAAATGTATGATACATACACAATAAGATCATCAATAATAGCATGTAGCTTTGACAGACTATAGGAAGGATTATTATGTTTATTCAATTGACATTCTATTATATAAATTCAAAAAAAATGAAATAAGATTTTTTAGTTATGTTAATATATTAACCTTTTAACAATACGTTTAATTCATCCTTGCTAATGCCCATGATTAGTTAGTTTTTTTGTTTTGAGTCTCTTATTACATCTAAAATTAAACAAAAGCGCCATTATCATTATCTATAATTTAATGGAAAATGAAAATGATGATCAAAAAGATACTTCTGAATCTGTACACTTATCAAAAGAAGAACAACAAACAAAATCTTATGGGTATGATGCATTCATACTAAAATATTTATTGAAAATCTGAATTGGTACTATTTTTTTTTTCTTAGAAAGAAATTAAAAACTAAACGACATTCAAGTTTATCTATATCTTTATCAAGTAAAAATGATAATGAAGAAATATCAACATTATCTCTTCATTCATCTTCTCAATCTATGTCTCATGTAATTTATTTTGGATGTGAACAACATTCTGGAAATGAATTATGGGATACATCTTATTTTCTTTCATTAATTTTTGAACTTTTAGATGAATTTAAAGATAATTCAAATGAAGAATCTCGTCTTACTGCATTTATTATATGTCGTCTTAATGAAATAAATTTACATTCACAAATACCAATTAAATTAGTTGTTCAAATATTAAAATATTTTCATAATGTTCGATTAAAAATTCTTGTTTTACTTGAACTTTTAAATATATGTGAAACAATTGATTGTACTCAAGGACTTATGTTATTATGGGAATTTTCATCTTATGGCTATATGATACTTTTTTATGTATTAGATCGAATTAAATTTTCGATTATTGATAAAGATATGGAATGGAAATCATTATTAACTATATTTGAACCACTCGAAAATAAAAAACATGCAGCTTATATTGTATTAGATAAAACAAATTTTTACAAACCAAATAAAGCAATAATTGTTTTTGGATCGAAAAAACTTGAACGATATTTTTAATTTTGACCGCTCATTCATATTGGCATCGTCTTTATGTTTTCTTAACTTTTTATTGGACTGTCCGACAGTACTATATATAAATCTATAATGATAGATGTCAGTAATGTGTAATCATCATTATATTAATTAATTATTTCAAAATATGTAAATAAACCTTCATGGTTCATAATTTTTATTAGTCATCGAAAAAAAAAAGCATAAAATTGATCAATTGGCAAATTCTATAAAGAAAAAGTAATCATGAGCTTTACGTTTATTGCATTCTTTTGATTTAACATTTAGTATCTTTTGATGAAAGTAAAATATTCGAAAATCATATTTCATCTTTTGATTAAAATAATGTAAGACAAATTTTGTTTTAGCTTCAAAGATCATTTTATTGTTCAAAGTAAAAAAAATCGATGGATAGGAGAACTCGCGAGTCAATAGATCGATCATGATAACTAATTCATCAAAATTAATATTTACAATCGACTTGCGAATGTTTTTGTAGAATATTTTCTTAGGATTATTCATGAAAAAGTTACTAATCCTTTTGTTAACTGAAATTTTCATAATTTTGAATATTTTTACTATTTAACATATTGCTAAAGGTCAGGTTCTATAGTTCTTTTCGAACAGTATATCGAATTCAATGCTTTTTTTGCAATTGATTGTAATCATGAAAATCATTATCAGGTCATGTACATCATCAAAGTCGGAGAAGTCATGAAGTAAATAATTTTGCCTTTGTCTAATCTTCTATACAGATTCGAAAGGACAGAGCATAAGAATACATTTATTAGTTATTTGCAAAGTCTTCGATTCATTCTGCATTATGTATAGATTTAAATCATAGATTCCAACATCGCTCTGATTTCTACACGAGTATATCGCTGTTTTGAAACATCTAAATTGATAATGAAAGATTTGAAGCTGAGAAAAATAATATTCGTTCATAGAAATTTATTTATTATCTTTTTAACTATCACTTTCATTGTCACATTTATGTTTTTTTGAGGACAACAAGATCGACGCCATTAATGATGACTAAAGAAGACACTAATGAGTTAACCATTTGATTACACGGCTCGTATATATACGAGCTAAGCTTTTATACAGATTATAACTTTGATAATCTTCTCTTTTTCCCTTATGTTTTTAGTATGACAGCAACATTAGATGATATCACTGTACATGCATATCAAGTGGAAAAGAGGAATAGTGGATTTATAAGTCTATGAGAATCCACAGGCTCTTTATATCCTAAATCATTCAAAGTCTTGTTAAATCAAACAGAAATTAGAATTCTAGACCCACTGTCGTACTAGAAAGGTACGATTACTACTGAAGCTTTAACATTACTGAAGACTAGGCGCTTAATAATTGAGCAAACATGCATTTTTATTTTCATCTTTGCAAGGATCCATAACTAATGGGTTAATGACGATGATTAAGCAAACAGATCTCACACAAGTAAAACGTCGCGTTTGACCTGTATGGATATTGAAAATCATGTGATGTATAGGCGTTATTAGTGCTCAGTATAGTCATCTCTATTTTATACAATATAACATTTATAGCAATATTCACGCTTGTTATCACGATTATTTCTTGATCTTTTCGCATACAAAATAGCTGAAGATTAATGTGTCTAAGAATAAATTTATCTTTTATAAATCTGTGTCTGAAATTTAGACAATTTAAAAAAAAACAGAAAAAGAAAAATAATCATCTGATAAGATCAATTTTGACTACCGAATACACCTTTATCCACAATAAAATAATTACATCGATTCATTTTTGATATATGATAACAATAATCAATTGATAATGAACGTAAATGAACTACATTGGTTTTAATACTTGTTGTTGCTTTTCGTTCATCAAAGACAATTTGTGATTGTTGAGAATCTGGATGATGTTCTTCAATCTTTTCAGTTTTACTCAATTTTATACGACAATGAACAAGAAATGCCCAAGTAAGACCTAATGCTGGACCTAATGTCATCGATTGTGGAAATAAAGAACAATCAGATTTTTGACTAAATTGAGTTTGTACCTACAAACAAACGATATTATCAACAATACTGACGAATGATAAAATATCATCTATGTATATATACTTGATTAACACACACAATAGCAAGATTATATCGATGACAAAGTGTATGCATTGCAAATCCAAAGTATTGTAGAGTAGTTGCTTTTTTATGATGTTCAAATAAAATATCTTCAGAACGGAAAAGAGCAGCTAATGAATCAATAATAATTAATCGAATATTTGGTTCACGACTAAGTAAAAGAGGTAGTCGATCAATAAGTGTCATTTCTAAATGATGCTAATATAAAAATGATATTTTAAATATTTTGAAATAATAAAAAATATACAAACATAATGTCGAATAATATCAATATAAATATTATCAAAAAATTTTTGTTGTAAACATCGAGCATCAGCTATATTAAATGGTTTATCAGTTTTTGCACGATAATAAGAAATATGTCTTAATCGTTTATCAATTTTTTCAATTTGAGATTCTGTATTGATATAGACTACCTCTATGAGAAAAATAGTTATATAAAAATAGAAATAAAATATATTAAAACTTACTGGCTTCTTGTCCTTGAGCTCGAAATGTTCGTTGAACTTCTAGAGACATTTGAATACAAAATTGAGTCTTTCCACATCCACTTTCACCGTACACTTCAGTTATTTGACCAAGACGAATTCCACCATCGAGTGTTTTATCAATGATTGGACAACCTGTTGAAAATGTTGTTATCAAATCACGTTCATTTTCAATCATTTGCCAAACTAGATTAAAAATAATTACCATAGTTTAATAAAATAGTTTTTAGTTATATGTGAAACAGACCCGACATTTGTCGTCTTGTAAAAGGATAAAATGTATTCGAAACACATTTTAATGCAATATCAATTTCTGGTATTGTCATTCGAGTTGTACGAATCACTTGATCTGGATCCAATTTCAGAAAACTTTGTAAAGAACAATTAGCACCATAAGCTAAACATATGATTTATATAGATATATGTATAGCAAATAACTTATATATATATATATATATCAAATAATCAACCTCGATAAAGTTTTCCTTCAACAGCCGGTGGTAAATCAATATCACTTAAAGTAAGAGGCATATTTCATATCTATAGAAACAAATTTAAATCTATATTTACTTCTGACAAATGATAAACTTTCCTTTTCTTTTTTTTGCTAAGAATCTCAATAAATGTGCAATGTTTGACATAAATATACTTGTTAGAACAATGATCATCATGTTTACAAAAAGAAAAAAAAGGGAAAAACATAAAAACAATAAACAATAAATCTTATTTCTCTCTATATACGTTTTGTATACAAGAAAAAAAATATTAAAATGAATAGCACAGATCTTTGTTCTTCATATTTCATTCAACAACGACTGATTTCATCGTATTTTCTTCAATTGTTAATTTTTGATGAAGATCGTCCTCGAGTTCTTCTATATTATCCATATGATTATCAATATCTTCATCAGTTGTGTGATCAATACGAAATTTTTCTATATTAAGATTCGTAGTTCCAACAATATCATCATCATCATCATCTTCATCAGTTGTTACAGCATCATGTTGTTCAATTTGCTAAAATTAAAAATATACGATTAGATTTTATTTTTCATTCGAAATTGTTTATTTTAAGAAAGCCATGCAAATTGAATCAGCATGCGAATAAGAGCGTAATCATAAAATTGATAATCTTTTCTTTTTCAATGGATTTTTTTTTTGGTCATGCTCATTTGATCATACCTGAGCTGTAAGTCGAACTGCTAATTCCTCTCTAAATTTTTCTTTTGCCCATTCCAAAAAATGAGCTGTTTCATATGTCGTCTGCTGATAGATAATATTAATTATTTTTTTTTTATTAAAAAATACCAAAAACATAATAAGAATAATAAGAATAATACATACTTCTTTATTTAATGATAATAATTCACTATTGATATCATCATTTTCTGATGCTAATTGTTTTTCTACGGCTTCTTCTAATTTCAATTGTTGTTGAAGTTGATCAAGTGATTCTATAATATGACCTTAAAAAAAAACTTATCTTAGAAAAATAAATTTTGTTCATTTTTAAAGTTTCTTACTGTCTGTTGTTGATACATCTGATGGTGGACTAATAACATCATGAGTTGATATATTGTTTTCTTCATCATCTAATGTTGATTCTTTTAAATGTATACTTGTTGATAATGAACTATTTCCACTATCATCTACTGTTGTTGTTGTTGTTTTTGTTGGTTGAGAATCAGTTTTAACTGTTAATTGATTTGTTCCTATTAATTCTGGATTATCATCTTCCCACCATTCTTCAATAACATTAATATCATTTGAATCATTTATTTCATTATTATTTATATTATGTCGATTTGAATTTGATCGATTATTAAAATCATTTCGTCGTTGATAATTATTATTGAAACCATATTGACGAGGATCATATGATGATAATGGAAATTGATGTTTATCATGGTAATATGTTCGTTGTTTTGTTGATCGTCGTCTTTGATATGAAGTTCCCCAATAATTATTATTATTATTCATATTTTCATTTCGATAGGATGATTCGTTTGTATTCATATATGCAGCAAGTGGTAGGCTACTATTGTTATTGTTATTATTGTTATTATTATTATTATTTCTTTGATAACGAGTATTATTATTATTATTATTATTATTATTATTAGTGTTTGATGGACGAAAAAAACTTGTATTTGGTTGTTGTTGAGATGAAAAATCATAAAATGATTGTGGACGTGATTGAAAACGATTATCATTAGACATTAAAGAGGAATTATATAAACGTTCGAAATCACCAGAAATTGGTCTTTGTTTAGAATATTTATTATCTTGATCCGAATTTTTTAAACGACGAAATCGTGGTGGTAAATCAACGGATAGATCTTCTTGTTGTTGATGAACATAAGAGCTTGAAGTTGATGGAGTTGATAATTGTGTTGGTGGAGGAGGAGGGGGAAAAGGATGAGGTGGTAGTGGTGGTTGAAAAATGGACGATGATTGAAAATGAGATGGATGATGAAATTGATGACGATTGGAATTTTCAAATGTACGTGTTGGATAATATTGATGAAAATGTGGTTGTGATGGTTGTGAAGAAGGAGGACCAGTAGACATAGGTGAAGATGGATGAGCAAAGTAAACTGTACCATTTCCATTGAATGATGATGATTGAGCTGGTGATGGATAAACAAAATTATGAGGATAAGCAGATTCTTAAAAAAAAAGAGTTAAAAGAAAAATACTTGAATTTATATAACGATAAATAGAAAAACATAGACTTACGATCTAGTTGATCTCCACCATTATTCATAAAATGATCAATACCTGTATGATGACCATTGATATTTGTTGGTAAAAGTTGTACATGAATTGGAGGTGGTAGAGAACCACTTTGCCAAATTGGCATTTGTGGTAAATCTAGATGAAATTCAGAAGTTTCTCCTGAATGACCATTATTATGTATTCCAGATCGGCGCATTCGTTCTATAAATAAATCGTTCAAACACAAATTCTTGATTCCATATCGTGAAGAAAACAATAGTTTTACCGTCTCGTCGGCGTTGTTCTTGGTCTTGAGTTCGTTGTTGTTGTTGTTGCTGATTCAAACGTCCACTACCGACACGTGTAGCTAAAAATTCAAAAAGAAATATATAGTTTTATATATTATAACAAGAAATAGATTGGAAAAAAGAAACGTAATCGGTGAGTATCTACGCAAACGAACGATAAATAAGAAAAAAAAAGGATAAAAAAAATCAGTCATGCAATTATCCGATTAACTACCATTGTGTAAACCATTAACCTTCGACAAAAGACAAAATGATTTTTTTTTTTGTGAAAATGGTCAAAGAGAAATTGAGAGCACAAAAAGAAACTCATTAGTCATAAGACAATTTGCTTACATGTCGGGCGTTGCCTGTTGATTCTAATTAAATCGATGTTCTATAACGGAGTGTGCATTAGTGTGTCTCCATTCTATTGTCTACTACTGCTGATGATGGTAAAATATGTGTATACATGCAGTGTACATTGCACTATCGTTTCTCGCTTTTTTTCTCCTATCGCTCTTTCTCTCTCTCTCTCTCTCTCTTTCTTCTATTCTTTTCGTCCATCGACAAAGACGGCGAAAACGTGCACATCGATCATCCAGGTATATCTACCATTTAACATCATATATATGTATCTATATATTATATACACATGCCTTATATTAAGTTTCAAGGCATTTAATCAGCTGATTTACAAGCACCGTCAATAGCATCATGCAATGCAAAGCACGAAAAAAAAAACGAAGGTGAATAGAAGATGATAAAAAAAAGAGTGGCAACTCATTCAATGAGCAATGAATAATCCGTTACCTACCTTGATTGTTTACAATGACAATTTTTTTTGCGTGAGCCGGTTCGTCGGCATCTGCGCATAAAATTAATTTCATGACAATTTAAAATTTTCGTATAAATAAAATAAATATTCTCAATGCTTGAAAAAGAAATTCTTTTCACTGAATTTTTGTTTTTAAATTGAATATTTAAAGAAATGGTATCATATTCTTTGTACACTTTTGGAATAAAAAGATATTCATATCTCACCATGATTATCTTCTGTTCGATGCCGAGATGGATATGCATATTCAAGTAATTCATGACTGATGGAATTATTATTATTATTATTATTATTATTATTATTATTATTATTATGTTGTTGTTGTTGTTGATTAGCAAGTTCTTGTGCTCGTTCACGTTTTAAACGATTGTAATCAACTCGTTGAGCACGTTGAGGTTGAACATCAATACGATCCTTTTGATTAAATATAGAATTTTGATCAAATCAAAATGATTTAAAAATATTTACATTTTCAAATTTTCGTCGTAGTGGTGCTCGATGCATTGGTTCATGTGGATTTTTCTGTAGATGACATCATATTTTGAAAGAAAAAAGAAAAAAAAATACAAAAGAAAAATACTTGAAAATTTTGTTGATTTGCTGTATTTCGTCCACGGTTTTTTGTTTCCTAAAAACGATGATGATCAGACAATGAGATAAGTATGAAATTTGATTGACTTACACCTCGCATAGGTGTTGCCATTGATGTTGTGTCTTTAGATTCAATTTTAGTTACTGTTGTTGTTGCACCTGATCGTTGAGCAAGTTGTCGGTCTTCTTCAATTTCCTTCAATAAATATAAACATGTAAATGTACATAAAAGAAAAAAACAGATACATCTGTAAACTTCAACACGATTCTTTTTCTTAGGTTGTCACTTCTATAAAAACACACCATACAATACGCAACTCACAACTTCAGAATAAATTTGTAATTATAAGAAGGCAACAGGGAGAGAGACCGAGAGTAGAGAAAAACATTATTTTAGGCACGCACTCACGATCATTATTGATGTACAACTTGCCTTAACGGCGTCTATTGAAACTTTATATCCCTTGTTCTGTATGCACGTTTATTCCCTGTTAGAAGCGAAAGAAGACGACGAAGAGGAAGGGAACGAAACTGTCAAAAAAAATCTTTCTCTCATTATAACGACATTCGAGAGCATGTTGAGTATAAAAGAGAAAGAACAAACCTCTTAACCAACACATATCAATCGTCGGAGTTCTCTTATTCTCTCTTTTCCTTCTCTCTTACTTCTTTGGTCTTTCATCGACTGCTTTTACACACGTTTCAAACAAACAATTAGTATATACTCAAGTGCAAACCTGATGACGTTTAAGTAATTCCAAGTTTTTGATACGCATTTCAGCCATCTTTTGATCAATTGCCGAGATAGATGATATCCCGTCCATCGATGTTGTCTATTCAATAAATCGATGGATAGATTATCTGAAATAGCCAAGATCATTAAGTATGCACATACTTACACTGGACAACATATATATATATATATATATATATATATATATATATATATACATATATACAAAGAAGATCATTTATATGATTTATCGGACATAACATAAAGAACCATAGAAAAAGAGAAATAACGAGATCACTAAAATGTGATGGACCAATTTACCTTGTAAAAGAAGATGTATGCTTGAAATTTCTATTTCTACTCTATGTATATTAGTTACAGATGATTGAAAAAGTGTTCTATTCATCGGCTTCACGCGTTTTTTTCTACGGCTATTATTTGCTTGCTTGCTGGCCTAAGATACCATACATATGAAATATGACAATCAATTGTACGATTCAACGATACAAATGCGAGAATAATCGTTTTCTGATGTGTGCAGATGTATATTTAGCGGACGAATGACAACAAATAATTCAATAGCTATCGATATCTTAGAGAGTCCTACTTTCGCATTTCAAAGCAATGATATTCAACGTATGTGTATGTATAGTAAGATGGGTAATATAAGAGAGAGAGAAAGAAAAAAAAAAGTGCTATATCAGAAGATTTACTATTGAGAGAAAACGTGAAAAAATGAGAAGAATGTATTTATATCCTGCTTTCTTTTGTATGATAAATAAATAACGTCAAATCAACAATTATAATTCACAACTTATTGTATCTTTATCATATCCTTGAAAGAAAGGATCAAATAAGATTTTCTTTTACAATAAATACATACTTGAATAAAAGAGTGATAGGAAGAATATTTGATTAACAAATATCCTTTCTTTGTCTTATTACTAAATATATCTACATGTTTAAGAAATATTAATAGCTAGCCTACATATGCCTTTAAAATAAACAGAAAAAATAAAAAAAACAAAGGTAATTTTGCGTATGTGCGTGTGTGTGTGTGAGGGTAGGCGTGTATACATCTGTACAAAATACAACACATTCGATTGATTTGAAAATATTAGATGTCACTATAAAATACATGCTTTAAACTAACATATAAAACATGATTAATCAAAACGACAATCTTACCTTGTTTAACAAAAGGTATTGTATTTATCACATTTACCTTTTCCTTTTGTAATAAACATATATTATCAACTTTCTTGTTTACATTTGCTATAAATTTAAATTCAATCTTTAAAACAATATTGATGCAAGTATGACGAATAAAAAAAAAAATTCTTTCTAGTCGAAAATATTTTTTTATTCTAATAAGTTCATGATAGGACATTATAATCAAATAAAATATTGAGTAGATGTCTATGATATAATACATCAATATATAAATTTAAATATATTCATTATTTTATCCTTAATGAAATATAAAACATTGATACATACTTTAAGTCAAATTGTTTTATGAAAATAAACAATATCGACTATTGAAATAGATTGTATTAGTGCATCTATCTAAACAAAATATTTAAAAAAAACAGATATGCTTTAGCTATTTTTCTAAAGGAAAATTAATGTTAATATATGTTTATTATTCCGAAAGATTTATGAAATGTAATGGTAGAGAACCTTCTATACAACGTCGTTTGAATTGAAAAAAACAAACAATATTAGTTAAATAAATTCAGTCAATATTTGCAACATTTTTTCTATAAAATTTACGTTGCTGTGAAGTAAACATTGACTTATGTTCAGGATCCAATAGCTCATTTAGTGAATGATAATCATTGTTTTCTTTTTTCAAAATATGATTTAACTAATTACACTATGCAATTAACTTAATTACTTTTCTGTTGTTTACTTTATCACGAAATTTCAAATTTTCCGTATGCCTTTTATTGGATCGTTCATAGACCAACTAATGTGTTTTTCAATAGACAATATTTTTTTATCTTATAGAATCAGATGTCGCACTGATAAAATAAAGCATAATGACTTCAGTAAACCCTGTCCTCGCAATAGAAGATCTTAGGTCTTCTATTATGTTGACGTGTACAAATTTGTAAACGGATCTTCTGTTATGACTAATCTATTTTCATAAAAAAAAGTTTTTCATAAAAGTAAAATGATTTTGTAGCTTAAAAAAGTGATTTTTAAAAAAGCAGAAACGATGTTGGCCAGTCTTTTAAGATTTTCAGGTTGAAATTCTGAAAACTAGGCATATTTTAATATAAATATTAAGAGAGAACAAATTGATTTCTATTAGTTTTCTTGACTTTCAATAATTTCTCAATATTTCTAGTAATTGCTCTCGATTTTTCGTGAATTTCCTTCATTTCTAAGCATTCCTAATGATTTTTATTGATTTGCGATGAACAGATAAAAACTGATTCCCATTGATAGAAATTACCTGAAATCAGAGAAATCAGTTTGCTATCGCTTGGTAAATATTCTAATTAAAATTCCAATTTTTTGAGAAATCAATCAATCAAGAGGACATTCAATTACGTTCGGTGCATTGTTCCCTCAAAGGAGTCTTCTAATATGAGAAGGATTTATTATTCGGCGTAGAATATTCTATTCATTAACTTCATTGAAAATATATAATTATAGTAGCAGATTTGATGAGCAAATTTTATTTATTTAAAATCATTTGTTGACAATACTTAAGCATAGTAGAAATACTCTTATTGATCTTGCATGTTATTTTACAACTTTCAAATACTTATATTTATCAGATCTTTTCTTTTTTCATTAAAAAAAACAGCAATAGTTATGACAAAAACATTAATAATTTTATTTTAAAATAAAACGTCAAAATTTATTATCGATTTCGCTTGTAAAAAGATATGCATTTTGAATTGCATGACTATTGAAACGATGAGTAATTGATTATAGTAATATGTAATTTCTATGTCTAACATGCATAGATTATATCAATAAACATGACATTTGAAATCATCTGTTTTCTAGTTGTAACATTTTGTTCATCCTTAATGTGCATATGCTGCAATCTAATAAAGCTTGTCTCAGTTGTCATCTGGTTCTTATTCAGACGAGAATATATTATCATCTTTTATAAATGTCGATACAGTATTTTGTTCGAAGAGATTCTCAAATTAATGATAAAACCGAAGATATTTTATAGATTACAAATCAATCATTAAATGTAAAAATAGATACTCTTAAGCAAAACTATTTATTTGTACTGAAGTATTGCCTATGGCAATAATAGTATACTCAATAATTTTAAAATATTGACTAACGAACCTATTGAACTATTTTCTGATTGAAGAGAATCTATTTAGAATTATTTTTTCATATAATTCATTGTTATTTTGTTTTATGAGTAACTACTATTCATTGAACTTTTCCTTTTTTTTTTTTTTTAAATAATTTTAAAAACATTATTCACAAGCGAACATTTTGTTTATATAACTGTTGAGATATGATATAAATAGAAGAATTTTATACCAGAGCTGCCGTTTTTTGTTTTTTTTTTAACCCATGGGTAACCCAACCCATCGCCGGTAGTTGATTGGGTGGAAATCAGTCCAACTATTTTTTATTTTATTAACCCATGGGTTACAGGATTGGGTTGAGCAGCTCAACCCTACCCATTGGGTAACCCATTGGATTAACCCTGGGTTTTATAATATTTGAATTTTTCATTAAGTATTGTTAAGAGAAATGCAAGTTCAGATCCGCCTGTATAAATTGTTAATAAAATGAAAAATCATTTCACAGGATATATAATAATAGATATTATTTTTATTTCCATACAGATAAAAAGATAATCTTCACCGTGGTTAACATGATTAAAGAAATTATAATACAAAATAAAGGTAGAAGAGAATAAAAAAACAATAGAAGTTAAATTAGTTGCACTTGTTTTACATTTACACTATTAAGTTTATATACAAAAGAACATCACCAGCGAAAGAAATAGACAAAGAAGTTTGTCTATGGTGAAAAAACAAAGTATATATGATGTTATATTTTTACACATGCTTTCGTACAAAAATAATATTTCAAAAACAAAATTTGAGAAGAAATTAAAAAAAAAGAAACATATTAACAAGAACCTGTACGAGATAAATGCTAATCTAACATACCAATAGTATTTTTATCTTGATTTTCGATAGATCGAATCAAGATGATATTTTCTAAATTTTCACCCGACAAACATGTTCGTCGATCGTTGAAAATAATCCCGGCACTACTAAATTACCTTTCTATGGGTTCATTCAATGGTCAACCCTGGGTAACCGGACAGGGTTTGAATCTGAAATTGGGTGGATGGGTGGATTTTGAGATTTTTTAAATGTCGACCCAACCCGGTGGATTGGGTTAGAGACTAACCATTGGAAGCTCCAACCCAACGGGTTGGGTGGGCTAACCCACCCATGCGACAGCTCTGTTTTATACCAAAAGTAAAAAGAAAAACCCGATGAATTCAACAATGAGCATTTTAATTCATTGTTTCTTTAATAGTTGAGTTTTCTGATTTATAAATAAGAATATATTCACATTGTTTTATAAAACATAGTGAATTCATTCACGATTGAGAATATTTTTTTATAAATAATAAACGAGCAAAAAAGAAAAAGAAAAAAAAATTTTTTAACGAAACAGAAAAGAAGAAAACTATCCGCAATACAGAAAAATAAACTACTGATATCACCGATTCGTTATAGTTGTTGTTATAGGCATATGTTCATTCGAATCAATAATAATATTATTCATATTATTTCCTGTACTACGTCGATTATTTGTCCAATTATCAAATAAATGATAACCAGTGCCTGATGGTTCCCAATCATCACTAGTTGATTCAAGTGAATAAGTAAATTGTCTTCGTCTTTGACGTTTTCGTTGGAAATAAACAAATGCAACTGCTATACTGACAGAACTAATAATTAATAAAAGTCCAAGTATAATTATTGTTGTTACAACACCACCACGAATAGTTCGTTTCATTTTTGGCAAAGTTACTCG